CTGATTGGCCGCGCCCCATCTATTCTTTGCCTCCCAAATCACAGCTGTTCAGGAGGGAATGGGGATTTTGCAGTATCCATCTCCTGCCACTCCCATCATGCCATTCCCACCAAGCCACGCCATGCTCACCGAGCCACACCCACAGAACCGGTAGTAAAAATATTTGAATCCCACCATTGAATTGTATCTATATACAAATAGATACAGCATCATCGTTATCCAACAATCCCAAGCTTTACCTTGTCCACACCTGAAGACAAGAGAGAAAGCAGAGTCTGCAGAAGAAACCTGTCACCAACGTGAAGCATAGCTTTGTGGTGCTGTGAATTTGTAGCCACATTGCTGAGAGCAGCACAACTGTAGTACTGTAAGGACAGAATGCAACTTTGGTATAGATGCAGTAAAGAGACAAGAGTTGGACTACAATGGGTCGGAGAAATAAAGATCATGTTGTCTGGTCTACCTCTGAATAATGTGTAGTAACTTAGTAACTTTTGATTCATCACAAAAGCAATGAAAAATATATAAGAAGTTTGAGACGGAGACACTTTATGGCTTAAAGTTCTAAAACTGTACTAAGAACCCATCACACACCTATCAAGGACCATACATGGTTCTAGTTAAGAGTTCAGGATCCTATCCAAAGCTCTGGGATGTCAAATGAGAACTCTGTAAGCAGTGAATTCAAATGGAATTGCTCAGTTCTTGAGCAAATATATGACTGCAGTAGATGTGAAGATTCTAATACCAGAGCTTAGGCTTGAGAGAAAAGACCATATGTTATGCTAATATAATACTTAAAATCAGTTTTCAATAGATTTTTATGGAATGCATGCCAAGTGGAGAAATATATTCTTTTGCCTCTTTGCAGATAACAGGAAAAAATACAGAAAAGCACAGTGAACTAAAAAAAGAAAATGGCTCCCAAAGCTTCAGCAATATCAGCTGGGGCCAATTCCATATGAAAGCTTCCTTCCTATGTTTCTGGTTGGGCACTGTAACATCTTTCTGAAAAATGAAAAGTGACTACAGTCCATTTAGATGGACCTGATCTTACATAAATTGTGGGTTAAGTGTGAAGATTAGCTGATAAACTGAAATTCACATATCTATTCTGTGAGGCTTAGAAGCGTGGAAATTATTGTCTGCTTCAATTACTTCTACTTTCCACCTGAAGACCAATGTTCTCCCAAATGGATTCCTGTTAATGTTAGTCTTAATCACAATACAGTAAATACATTTTTTTACTTGATTATGTATAAAAAGGAAGATTGTACAAAGAATGTTTGGGAGACCTTCCTCAGGCATTTTTTTACAACAATGCAGCAATGTTTGGAGGGGGTGGTGGAATACTTTCTACTCCCTTGTTACCTTACAGTTATAGGCACAGATTTGCAGTGGATGAGGGCAAAATGTTCAAACCCATTTTTCTATATGGTAAAAAAAATTAAAGATTTAAAATATCTATTTTGCCCATAAAAAACACCCCCCCACCCTGCCCACAACCAGAAAATATTTTGAAAGGGAAGGAGGAGCACATCACTTTTTTCCCCAGCATATAATTCTCCCTTACCAATATTGATGGAAGGAAAATCAAATATTGGTTCAAAACTTAAAACTTAAGAAGAGCAATGGCCATCCGTGATTATGTCAGACAAAAAGCCAAGAACAAAAAGTAGTGCTAGAGTTGTTCCAAAGTACATTTTTTCAAACCTCTGAACAAAGGCAACAAAGCAAAGAAGACCACATTCGCTTCAGCTGCTGTGACGTCTCTCACAATTTCTTTCAAAATATGAACTGGCTCTCAGATCAAATAGTTCTTATCTTTCCCGTGGAAAACTTACTCATCCATAAAACTTTATTTTAAATGTTGGTTACTATCTATAAGGTTTCAGACTGTCTTTTTTGTTGGGTCTTTCAACTCAGTTGCGAATTCAGGTTCTGTCTCAGGACAATTTTGAATTCAACAATGCATAATGGTTCTGGAATCATCAGACTAATGATGTTCAGTTTCAAGTTTCACTGAATGGATGGATACAAATGTTACCTGAACGTCTGTGTCAGGAGACTCTAATAAACTGGTGAGAATTGGGAGAGCACTTTGACGAACCAAAACCCTTTGAATCCATTCTGTAAAGGAACAGATTAACACTCAAATGGCAACTGTAATCAGTTACTTGGATCTTATCACTGCTACCTAAGTATATACCATACTTAAAAACTAAAGAAATTGTATTTTCGCAAAAACATACTTGCAAGAAAACCAGATTATTTTATTGCTATTGTGTGCATGAACAATAAAATTGCTGGGTAATTACTTTGTTATCAAAGGCTGCAAATAGAATTAAAAGAATATGGCTATCTTATTCTGCATGACAACAAAATCCAGATTGCATATCCCAGAAAAATGTGTCCTGATGAGGTAGCATTTATATGAGATTTGGATTCATGTAGTAATTAAAAAGCGGCTGGAAATGATTGTACTATATATAATGCTATTTTTAAAAAAATGCAAAATGGCAATGCAATGTTATTAATTCAATACATCCACAAAACAATAGTGTGTTCATAAAAATCTCCCCCCGATCCCACAAACAGAATACAGCTTTAATAGTCAGCAACCAGCTTCACATATTCACTCTTTGCTGCATAGATTTTCTGCATTTCCTAAATTAAGTAGGCACTAGTGTTTAACTTAGGGATGTAGTGGCTCAGTGGCTAAGACCCTGAGCTTGTCAATCAGAAAGGTCGGCAATTTAAATCCCTAGCACCACGTAATGGAGTGAGCTCCCGTTACTTGTCCCAGCTTCTGCCAACCTAGCAGTTTGAAAGCAAGTAAAAATGCAAGTAGAAAAATAGGGACCACCTTTGGTGGAAAGGTAACAGCGTTCTGTGCGCCTTCGGTATTTAGTCATGCCAGCCACATGACCACAGCGACACTTCAGATAGCTTTGAAACGGAGATGAGCACCGCTCCCTAGAGTCAGGAACAACTAGGACATAATATATGTACAAGGGGAACCTTTACCTTATGTTTAACTTAAACTCTAAAATTTCTCTAAAAATTATTGAAATACAAATATTACCAAAAAGTCCTGAATGGAACCTATCTCTAATTCTCTTTTTCTAACTATTCTTCCATTTAGCAGTGAAAAAAAATCACAGCTGCCGTGTTACCTGATCGTGTGAGGTTGAAAATAGCTTGAACGGCATTTTGTTGAACACCAATATTGTGCGATTTAGAAAGGGAGAGTAAGGGTATAGTTCCTCCGGCTGCTGCAATTGCATTCCGACAAGCCTCTGAAAGAAGCAGCAGAGAAAAAGACATATTAAGTGTTCTGACCTAGGCTTCCCAAGAGCATGCAGCAAACTCCTTGTCCCAACAAAAAACCCTTTTATTAATTTACTGTGAATTCTGCTCATTCACATCCAGTCTTTCAAGGGAGGATTTACAGTCACAGACCTTATCTGGCTTGGACAGCTGCCAGGCCGATATCTGCAAAAGGAGTCTCAGAGAGTCACGAAACAATTAAGGCAACTAATTGTCTCCTGCAAACTCGGTTCCCCTTTCACTCTTCTTTTATTTCCTCTGGGAGAGCCATTTATCATCCACCTGTGGCCTTACTCCCAAGTCGACCCCTGTTCCCTTCATCTGGCAATTCTGCGCATGTGCACACTG